ATGTAAAAGTGTATTTGATAAATGTGAAAGAAATTTAGCAGCGATTACACTTTCTTCATTAATATAAAAAATTTCTCTAAAACATCACATTATTATGTTTTTTTTTAATTTTAAAATAAAACAAATGAACGGATTTTTCTGTACCGAAATAAAACAAACCAATTATTAGCTGGTTGTTCTTGATATATTCCATTATAATCTCGATATGTGATCATATTCCAATCATCATTATCAAATGTAAAACATTGACTTAATTCTGGTTTGATTGATATGAAATTTCTTTGATGAGAAAATTCAAAACAGAATCGAAATACAAATGAAAAAATTTACTTAAAAAGAAGTAAAGCTGATTTATTTTGATCAGCTTTAAGTAAAGACATGTTCGATTGTAATATTTGTTGAATAAATAAATTTTTTTCTGTACCAGATGTACGAGCAAACGTAATACGACGTTGTAAAAAACCTCGAATACTTTTTTGAATATTCGTTATAGCTACTATTTCGTTTACATTTAATTCACGAGTTGATAAATCAGATAATGATTCTTCTGAAATTTTCAAATTTTAATTTCATCATTTATTAAACTTGAAAATTACCTTGCATATCTAATGTTGATGATGAATTTGTCAATGAAAATTGTTGTTTTAAACTAGGTTTATCGTCAACATTTTTTTCTCTTCCTCCAATAGTTCTCTTACTTGGAGTAGATGTTCCTGTACTTGCAGAAGAACTTCCAGCAGCTCGTGCTGAGTGACGACTGAGACTTCTAACAACTAGAGAAAATATTTTTAAGGTATTAGGTTTTTTTCTCAGTCTTCGTAGAATATGAATGAAAATTGGACTCAGCTAAAATTGTGTTAGTTACAGTTAAATGTTCTTCTCTACTATTATCTATAAATTTGAAACATCTTAGTGTTATATTGCAATCTGTTTAGTTACTAACGAGGTTCTTGTCGGATGCTCAATGAGATAGAGACAAAGATAATTATTTTAGTTTCAGTATCCATCAGGTCTTGAAATCGGGCAACTTTTTGATGGCCTGGTCCGGCTCGGACCGTCCAACCAGTTTATAGTGCCTGCCTAGCCTGGTTCAACTCAGAATAGCACTATTAAAACTATGTTTCTTTTACAAAAAAAGATTTCTACACGATGTAAATCCATAATCACTGTAGTCATTTATTATTATAGTGATCATGAGATGAATAAAATTAGGCAATTTTAACGCTTGAAACAACGGTATGACGAAGAAGTTGAATTATTTATTGAACCGAAAGAGCAAGATGCGTTTGTGGATGCTCAAACTGCTTGAAAACTATCATTTATTAACAAAAACCTTTCAAGACTAAAATGCGCACCGATTCATTTTTAAGAGTTTGATCGATTACTGTTTTTAGTTAGAATGTTAATTTTAGTACACAATTAGCACTGTTTCACTTCATTAACATTTATACAACTTAATGAAGTTGATAGTGCACTCGACCTTGTGTGTAGATGACGAATATCAACGAATCCAATAAATGTTCTACTTTTATTTATTGGCTAAATAAACATTTCAAAATATTACCATAATGAAAATTCTTGATTGCTATCCGTTGTGGGGATGGATATGAGTGTTGGTCTGAGAGCGGAGCATATTAAACTCACACCCACATCCAACAAATATAAATCAGTGAATGTACGACTAGTGGGTAATAATTATTTCTCGTCCAACATAATGATGATCATACACAAACGTGTTCTTTACGAATCCAAGCGTTGGTGGTCTCTAAAGTTTGTATCCAATGATGAAACTTTAATGTCACCAGGGGCATTTCTTAATTGGTGAAGGCGAAATCAATGCTAACATATAATTTAGACAGCGGAATTAACTGTTAAAAAAATTCGAAATTTTTCCAGTTGTAATAGAAGCCCCGAGGCTTCTAATACATCTTCCACATCCATCTTTCCAGAGGTGACTTCTAATAGGAGAGAGGTAGTCTTGTTGAGATCTACTTATAGGCAAAATATTAGTACTATTAATGAGTCACATGTGGGTACCTTCCATCATAAGACCGAACCTCAAAGCTCGATTTCAATGCATACCTTGTTGGTAGATAACACAACGAGCTATCAATCTTTAGATTTTCGGCAGTATAGAGGATTCATCCTATTAACTCAAAGGACAAATCCTCACTCTCATTCTCTTTATTAAATATTGAAACTATTACTGTAATTTGTAGGAAAATCTCAAAATCCTTCAACAGATTAGTTCTAAAATTTCTAGACAATGATCAAAATTTCATCTACTATTTTAACATGCAATGCTGGAAGGCAATATTATGAAGAATATCATCGTCAATCATCGAATTTTCGAATAATTTCTTACTTAGACGTTTTGCTTCATAAGCAGCTAAAATATCTGGTGTCGAAAGAT